TATATTAAAGTGTAGGTAAGCGGGCAAGTGTTAAGAAAGTCGTAGCTTTCCTGCTTACAACCTAGCTTCTCCACACGTAGCTTTCTACTCCTTAGTTTTCTCCACACGTAGCCTGCTGCGTACACGCTAGCTTTCTCCTTCGTATGCTGCGCACAGATTGATGAATTTCCCGTGAGTCTTGCTTATAGCCTGCGGGCACGGTGTAGCGCCACCCATTATAACACCAATATTTAATATTCGCGCGTGTGGAGATACTGGGGCATTACACGACGGTTATGGGACTTGGTTGACGCCAAGCGCGCGACGGACTAATAGGCACTCGCGTCTCTCATCTTTCCGCAACACGTGCCAGGTTTTTCCCCGCTCGCTGCATCCTATTCTCTTGCTATACTTTTTTCCTTTGCCATTCCACTCTCTACCTTCAAACTTTCCACCTTTCGCCCCTGGCTGGAGCTACTTTCCGCATCCACGTCTTTATCTGCTACGAGGTTATGATAGTTATGGTTGACGATTCTGTGTGTCTATAGATATCTGTGCTAGTTTCGTAGAGTGATGTATTGTAGGTGTCTGATGAGCTGGAAATAGACGCTACAAGAGTTAACGTACAATACTGGTTTTGTGTTATTGTATTCTGTGTTATCTACCGTGGCCTGTCAAGCGCGAACCTGGTATACGCCCGCACTAGATGAAACGGGTGCCACCGCGCCACCCACTTATAACCGAGAGCCTGCGGAGCGGTGAACGGTAAAGCCCGTCCTTAGAAAAGGTTTATTAGTTATAGTATTATATAGTTATATTGTGTTAATAATATTGTATTAATTTTAATAGCTATGCCATTGTATAAGTTGATAACGCTAACATTGCCGTAATGATAACGCTCATTGCGGTTACGTGAAATGACATTTCTATTTATTAATAATATTTTTGTTTATTATTAATTAGCATGCCATTGTTGTGCATGATACGCTTATGCGGTTTACGTAAAATTGACATTTCTAGTCCGACGCGCGATGCAGATTCGGTAGGCGACACTCGAGCTTCCCCACAGAATCGAAACGCGACTTTCCGTCCCACAGACAGCAAGTGCACCTCGCTTTTGTATGTCTTGCTTACGATCGTTCTTCGCCATCGAATCTTCCGGATAGAACGAGCAGCGCACCTGTGTGCACGGTTCTGCAGTGTTCTGGCGTACGTCGGCTCTGTGCATGAGTCTGCCCCGGCGGACCTTAGAAGTCCTTCGGTGGATGGATTTATCAGCAGAGTGGTCTGAAACGCCAATAATGCTCAGTTGGCATGTGCGTTTATACTGTGTTTACTAGTTAAATATTATAATTATATATTCTATCGTAACGTTATATTGTATCATGACTAGTATTATTACGTTTCCACGAGACGAGTAAAAATTCGTAAACCTCAAAAAAATGCCAAAAAAATATAAATTCAAAAATATAAAAATGTAAATTATGTAGAATGCCAAAAAAATAAATAAATTAAAAAATAGTAAATTGCGTAAAATTTTTCGTACACGTTTTCAAATTGCAGGTGGCGTTATTAGCATGGCCGACATGAGTAGATACCGCGAAAAAGTTACGCAACCGCTTTCCACCAAGCTTACGCTGAGTGACTCCGTGATGGATCTGATCTCTCCACCACCACCGCACAGCGGCGCTGTCGTCAGCATGATATTGAACGTACTTGAAGGTTAGTTCCAAGGTGACGCTCAATCTCCTTTAATTACGCGCAACAAGATAGATGATCAAATAGTTATTGACTCGAACGTTGGCTCCCGCTTGCACGCGCGCATCCTATATGACCTAGGGCATCCTATTTTTTTGAGGAGATTCATTAGAACAGAGTATTTCGTTTTTTCCTTTTGTTATTTCGCTCGCATAATCGGTTTCCTTCTAGGTTCTTCCTAGGTTAAGTTCCTCTCTAAACGTTTTTACATCGAATCATCCTTCGTCTTTCAAAATTCGTCTTTCGCCCTTTATACAATCGGCCCGCGTATCAAATTCAGTTGAGCTGTAAACATGTTCAATCACGTGCTGTAAAAAATAAAAATAAAATTAGATTAGCCGAGAGAGAGGGTAAATCAGAGGAACAGGGTAAATGTGCTGAGACGCAATCAGGGTAGATTACGCACTTATTTGTAAACAAGTTGTTATTACAAGCACTTATTTGTAGCCTGACGTATACAAGACGACCAACCGCAAGTGTTGTTTAATTACTGCATTGCCGAAATTACTCGAATGACGATCCTATAGGTCGCCACAGGACCCGGACTGGATTGGATTAATAACGTGTTCGTCAGTTCGTTATTAGATGCTATATATAACGACAAACGCAGACAACCGGGGAGAGAAGCGGAGAGAAAGATCTTCTGATAACCATGGTTTTCATGTTGCGTATAGGTTACGGCATGACGTCAGCAGACATAATATCGGTAAACACGTCGACTCTGCTGCACCATCGCGTAGTGGAGGCGTTCAAGTTTGCCTACGCCAAGCGCACGCACCTTGGCGACCCTGCCTTTGCTGACGTGGAGCGGGTAAGTAGATGGAGGATTTTCATCCACTAAGTCCAACACCCCTAACTGCCACACATACGCGCGCGCGCACACACACACACTTACTAATTAAATATTATAATTATATATTCTATCGTAACGTTATATTGTATCATGACTAGTATTATTACGTTTCCACGAGACGAGTAAAATTTCGTAAACCTCAAAAAAATGCCAAAAAATATAAATTCAAAAATATAAAAATGTAAATTATGTAAAATGCCAAAAAAATAATTAAATTAAAAAATAGTAAATTGCGTAAAATTCTTCGTACACGTTTCCAAATTGCAGGTGGCGTCATTAGCATGGCCGACATGAGTAGATACCGCGAGAAAGTTACGCAACCGCTTTCCACCAAGCTTACGCTGAGTGACTCCGTGATGGATCTGATTTCTCCACCACCACCGCACAGCGGCGCTGTCGTCAGCATGATATTGAACGTACTTGAAGGTTAGTTCCAAGGTGACGTCCAATCTCCTTTAATTACGCGCAACAATATAGATGATCAAACAGTGATTGACTCGAACGTTGGCTCCCGCTTGCGCGCGCGCATCCTATATGACCTAGGGAATCCTGTTATTTTTCAGGAGATTCATTAGAACAGAGTATTTCGTTTTTTCCTTTTGTTATTTCGCTTGTATAATCGGTTTCCTTCTAGGTTCTTCCTAGGTTAAGTTCCTCTCTTAACGTTTTTACATCGAATAATCTTTCGTCTCTTAAAATTCGTCTTTCGCCCTTTATACAATCGGCCCGCGTATCAAATTCAGTTGAGCTGTAAACTTGTTCAATCACGTGCTGTAAAAAATAAAAATAAAATTAGATTAGCCGAGAGAGAGGGTAAATCAGAGGAACAGGGTAAATGTGCTGAGACGCAATCAGGGTAGATTACGCACATATTTGTAAACAAGTTGTAGCCTGACGTATACAAGACGGCAAACCGCAAGTGTTGTTTAATTACTGCATTGCCGAAATTACTCGAATGACGATCCTATAAGTCGCCACAGGACCCGGACTGGATTGGATTAATAACGTGTTCGGCAGTTCGTTATTAGATGGCTGATGCTATATATAACGACAAACGCAGACAACCGGGGAGAAAGATCTTCTGATAACCATGGTTTCCATGTTGCGTATAGGTTACGGCTTGACGCCAGCAGACATAATATCGGTAAACAGCTCGACTCTGCTGCATCATCGCGTAGTGGAGGCGTTCAAGTTTGCCTACGCCAAGCGCACGCACCTTGGCGACCCTGCCTTTGCTGACGTGGAGCGGGTGAGTAGATGGAGGATTTTCATCCAGTAAATCCAACACCCCTAACTGCCACACATACGCGCGCACACACACACACACACACACACACACACACACACACACACACACACACACACACAC